ATCTTCCTGGTGATGGGTCGGGAGCTGAGAGTCCCGTCGAGCAGTGGGACTCGGACTGGTGTTTGTATCGGATGCCAGTGTCCTAGCTTGCAACTTTACCCTATGTTAGCCCTGATAGTTTATGTTTTGGGCCCCGGGAGAAAGTAAAGTCACAGGGGGCTGAATGAGACCCACTCCTACAGTGAGTCTGATTATGACGGATGTAGAGACAGCCCTGAAACGGTGAGCTAGGGAAGTGGGTGCACTTGTAAATACCAATGGAAACATCAACAGTGGTATGGTATGGACAGCAGTCTTCTAATGAATATGGAGCATTTAAAGTGAATCTGCCTGCTGTGCAGAAGCCATTAATTTGTCTGCAAAGACTTCGAAGTGAATTTGGGATTGTGGGAGTTTGCTTTAAGGCGGGACGTGCTTAGATAAATTTACAAGTCTAAAATGTTAGAGCTGACAGGAACGTTTAAGAGTAATCTTATTGTCCTCTGAATCTTTAAAATCGGTGATGGGGCGGTGGTGTTGGGTCAGTGGGTTAAGCTGCCGCTGCAACGGCTGGCACCCAGTAGAGCAGGGTTGATGCTCCATTTCTGGATCCTGCTCCCTGCTAATGCGCCTGGGAAGACAGCAGCCGATGGCCCAAGTGTTTGGGCCTCTGCCGACCCACGTGGGAGACTAGATGGAGTTCCAAGCCCTGCCTTGAGCCTGGTCAAATTCTGACCATTAGGGCCATTTGGGGAGTGAACTTGATTTCTCTCTCTCTTTCTGTTATTCTGCCTTTCAAATAAATAAATAAATATTTTTTTAAAAAAAAGTTGTCATCTGAAAAATGGTTCCTGAGCTCCCAACCTGGGGTTCAGCACGCATTGTGTTAGGCTACCACAAGAAACTTAGTCTTGACTAGGTGTCCTGGTTGAGAGCTCTGGCTTCCAGTTGGTGCCCTTGGGGCTGCTGAGGGAAAACTGACAGACTTGGAGGCTCGGTTCCTACCAACATCTAACAAAAGCTACCCATCCCACCAGGTTATCGGGTTATCGCTGAGTACTTACTTCCTGTTTAAAATCATTTCAGAATGAAAGCCAGACTTGTACTTGTATAAAGCCCTCTGAGCAAATGTCCTAAAACTACAAATCTCCAAGAGGAGATTAGACCCTCAAGTATTTGGTATAATTCAGAGCTTAAGGCAACCTAAATTCCACCATGTAGAAAAACAAAGCAAAAAGTTGTATTGAATAATGGATTCTGCAGAAGTCAATCATCTGGGCTTGTGTTGTAACAATAATAATGCTACCATTTAGTGAGACTTTGTTTCCCATAGATTCATCTCCATGCTATGTTTTGTTCTTTTTTTAAAGATTTATTTATTTATTTGAAAGAGTTACACAAAGAGAGAAGGAGAGGCAGAGAGAGAGAGAAAGGTCTTCCATCCGATGGTTTACTCCTCAGATGGCCGCAATGGCCGGTGCTGCGCTGATCCAAAGCCAGGAGCTTCTTCCAGGTCTCCCACGCGGGTGCAGGGGTGCAAGGACTTGGGCCATCTTCTACTGCTATCCCAGGCCATAGCAGAGAGCTGGATCAGAAGTGGAGCAGCTGGGTCTTGAACTGGCATCCATATGGTTGCCAGCGCTTCAGGCCAGGGTGTAAACCCACTGTGCCACAGTGCCAGCCCCTCCATGCTGTGTTTTATGTGGGTCATTTTATTTAATGTAAGAGTATATGCATCCAATTTACCTTTCCAATTATCTGGCTGAGTATAAAATTCTTTCACATTACTAGACTTGAACAGCAACTTTTTCTGATAAAAATCTTTTGGGAAGCAAGTACCTTTTAAGTCAAGATATATGTGTATTCCTTGCTGGTTGCCTGTTTCTGTAACTTTTTCTGCCTCTTCATTTTGCTGCTACTTTTTACCTTTTCTTTTTGAAGGCTTTTCTTTTTCTTATTTCCTACAGTGAACCAAAATTGACAAAGCTGATTTTGTTCAGTTCCCTTTTGAAGAACAGCTTTACTTATGAGATAATTGACAGTGTTTAGCTCTGGGGATAAAGCAAGAAAGACTTTCTGTCTTGCGTATAGCAGAGATAATATTTTGATGATTCATTTAAGAGAGGATTTTGCTTTTTGTTTTGACTAACTTATATCCATAAAGTGCGTATGAATAATTCAGTGTTATTTTTATCAGCAGTCTGCTTCTAAAATGTCCTTCAAACCAATTTTCAAGAACATTTATTTTGTATCACTGTATTCTCTAAATGCTTAAGTTAACAGATTGAGTTCCACTATGATTTGAATATTTGCAGATTTTTTATTTCTGTTTTAAATGTTTGTCTTACACCAGTGACTTTGCTTTTTTTTTTTTTTACTGTAAAGCCTATCTTTATTTTTCTGGTTCAGAAGTTCCTGTCTTTTGGTTTGTAACTGAGACTGCTAAGTAAATTAATTTTTTTGATGGTTATATTTTTCCTTTGTAGACTATTGAAAGAAAATGGCCCTCTCAGCCCAACAGGTACCCAGGTGGTTCAACACTATTAAACTGAGTAGCTTCATTAAAGCTGCCCAACTCAGGAGAAGTTTCCCAAGGCCAAGAAAAATACCGCTGTGTGGCTTTTCTACTCAGCTACCTATGTCATCTGACATTTGCCTTCTCCACCGGGGATTTAAGACTTATAGGACTTCCTCCTTGTGGAATAGTTCCCAAGCAACCAACTCTAATAGGCAAGAGAACCATTCTGCCCAAAGCGCTTTGCTTCCTTCCGGGATTCAACAGTCACAGAAGACACAAAAGCTACCCATCTTGGATTCTGAGCTGTCTCCTGAAGGTAATTCTGAGCTTTCAGAAAAGTTCCTCGTGCCTCACTTTAGTCATTGAGAAAGACCTATTTACACTCTTCTGGCCCTTTGCTGGTCATATTTTGTACTAGGCAGGAAAAAGAACAATGCCAGTTCTATTCACTTACTTCTGTTAAAAAACTTTTTTACAAAGAAAAAAAGGTTGAAGTGGTTGAGGGTTAATATGTATAAGATGTTATAAGGCTTTATTATTTAGATTTTTTAAGAAAAATTGTCTCATGATAATTAGTCTTATTAGGATATAATTTGTCTCAAGTAAAATTCATCTAAGGTACATAGTTCAGTGGATTTTGACATGGGCATTTAGTTCAATAAACACCGTCATGACAGTGAATAGAGAACAGTTCTGTCACTCCGTAAAGTTTCCCTGTACTGCCTTTTAGTCAGTCTTCTCCTTCCTGTGCTTCCTAGCATAGGAATACAGTATTTCACAAGTGAGGTGGTACTCAGTTAAGTAGGATAGGAAATAAAACTGGAAGGGGAGGCTGAGAAGAGATGCAGGCCTTAAAAAATGAGAAAGGGTAGTGATTAGAGTGAAAAAGATAGAACAAGATACACCGTCCTGATTCCTTAGCTTACAGTAGTTTACAGCTCCAAGTGTCTTGTATACATTGTTTGATTTTAAAAAACATTCTCTTAGTGAGAGACTACAGGTGGGAGAAACAATGACAAAAGTCCTCTGAAAGACCTGTTTTGAGAATAACTTGAGAGAACTTGGGAACACGATGATTTTAACCCCTGAAATGTGGACTGTTGAGATATGCTGTACTTTTGGCCAACCCAGTCCTGTTCTTGAAGGTCATTTGATCTTCAGCATTCTTACCTGCTAATTAAAATGGTAGGAAAACAGTTCTGCACCTTGAAACCTACTAAGAAATTTCATATCTTTGAGGAGCAGTGGTTGATCTTTCTAAATATTCCTAACCTTACCTCTTTAGGAGACAAAATATTTTTGAACTTCTTAAATGTTTGATTCTGAAATGATCTAGATATATAACAGTTATAAGAAACAAGAGAAGAAGTGCTTTTTGCAGAAATTGTTTTAAGTGTGGTTATTGAACACTAACTTGCCTCTTTCCTTCCTCCTGGCTGACTTCAAAGGACTGGACGATTTGCCCCCATTGTCCCCGCTGCAGCCCATCCCCGAAGAGGAGGCTGTTCAAATTATTGCAGGCTCCCCACTGCCCCCGCTTTCATTCACTCTTCGAGACTATGTGGATCATTCTGAGACTCTGCAGAAGTTAGTGCTTCTAGGTAAGTTTGACTAACCGAGAAATGCTTCCTGCACACACTCTTCATTTGCATTTTTGCCTTTCTAAATTAATATTTTAATCTTTATCAGAGTAGTACATGCACATGAACAAAAGTCAAATACTGTGAAAAGACTTGTGAAAAACTTGACGTCCTGCTTCATCCATCCTGACCTCTATCCTGTTCCCCACATGTAATTATTTAACTTTTATCACTCTATTTGAGTTCAACTCTACATTTTCAAGTGCTATAGTTTGTTCATCAGTTTTGTTTTAAATTTTAATTTTTTTTTACATTGCATAAGGTTTTTATACATGTTTTGACTAACATGTAATAATTGTTCATAGATATTTATGGGTTACAATGTGATATTTCAAGATATTTATATACTGATCAAATACAGTGTTTAACATTTCCATGTCCTTATCATTTGCTTATGTTTGGAATTTTGAGCTTCTCTTCCAGTTCTTTTTTTTTTTTTTTTTTTAAGATTTATTTATTTATTTGAAAGGCAGAGTTACAGAGAGGGAGAGACAGGCAGAGGCAGAGAAAGAGAGATCTTCCATCCACTGATTCACTCCACAAATGGCCGTAACAACCAGGGCTGGTCCAGAGTGAAGCTGGGAGCCAGGAGTTTCATCCAGGTCTCCCACGTGGGTTCAGAGGCCCAAGGTTCTTACTTCACTCCTTGCTCACTTCCACTGTAGCACTGATGACAATGTATTGTAATTGTTCACTCATCTATCCTTATACAAAGCTACCCAAACATTACTAAAGTCTTCAGAAATACCTAAATATGCATATATACGAATAACTGGAATATGAGGATGAGAAGTAAAGTGACATATCCCACGTGAGAGATACAGATAAAGGGTTCTGTAAATTAACCTATGTATTCATCAGTGGATGAATGGATAAAGAAAATGTTCTGTATGTACACAGTGGAATACCATTCATCCTTCAAAAAGAAGGAAATCCTGTCATTTGCAGCAAATACAGATAAATCTGGAAGACATTATGCTAAGTGAAATAAGCTAGGCACAGAAAGACAAATATTGTGTGATCTTATTTATTATACTGGTGGAAAGTAAAAAAAGTCAAACTCATAGGAGCAGAGAGTAGAATGGAGGTTACCGAGGGTGGGGGTAGGGCAGAGATGGGGAGATACTGATAAAAGGGAACCAAGTTTCCATTAGGAGGAATAAATTCTGGAGATTATTGTGCAGCACGAAGTCCGTAGTTAACAATAATGTACCATATCCTAGAGAATTGCCAAGAGTGTAGATGTTAAACATTCTTGAGCCGGCGCCGCGGCTCACTAGGCTAATCCTCCGCCTTGTGACGCCGGCACACCGGGTTCTAGTCCCGGTCAGGGCGCTGGATTCTGTCCCGGTCGGGGCGCCGGATTCTGTCCCGGTTGCCCCTCTTCCAGGCCAGCTCTCTGCTGTGGCCAGGGAGTGCAGTGGAGGATGGCCCAAGTGCTTGGGCCCTGCACCCCATGGGAGACCAGGAGAAGCACCTGGCTCCTGCCATTGGATCAGCGCTGTGCGCCGGCCGTGGCAGCCATTGGAGGGTGAACCAACGGCAAAGGAAGACCTTTCTCTCTGTCTCTCTCTCTCAAAAAAAATAAAAAAAATTTATAAAAAAAAAAAAACATTCTTACCAATAGCAAAATAGTAATCATGTGAAGTGATGGATGTGTTCATTAGCTTGATTTAATCTTTCCGCAATGTGTATATATTCATATATCAAAACATCGTGCCATAACCCATAAATGTGTGCAATTTTTAAAACTCTCAAAGGTGAGAGATAGATGGTTGTTTGCTTCAAGGAGAGCCAGTCACGTTTCCTTTCAGAATGGTTTTCCTAGCCTTGTAACAAGGGCAAGCACTGTGGGTGAGACAAGTGAACTCAACACATAGTTCCTACCTTTAAATAAATGTACGTACAGCTTTGGCCTGTTTCACGCATTCCTTCTTCAGTATGCTGATACTTCAACAGATTTCTTAGCAGTAATTTCGGTGGGGTGGACTTTGGCCCTTGTTTACCTTTTCAGCTAATGCAGCAGGTGATGGCTCAAAAAATAAAGTTTTTTAAAGATTTATTTATGTATTTGAAAGGCAGAATTACAGAAGCAGAGAGAGATCTTCCATCCTCTAGTTCACTCCCCAAATGGCCACAATGGCTGGAGCTGGGCTGATCTGGAGCCAGGAGCTTCCTCCAGGTCTCCCCAGCAGATGCGGGGGCCCGAGCACTTGGGCCATCTTCCACTGCTTTCCCAGGCCATAGCAGAGAGCTGGATGGGAAGTGTTGCAACTGGGACTTGAACCAGTGAACATACAGGATGCCGTCATTGCAGGCAGCAGCTTTTACCCATTACGCATACCACTGACCCCACAAATAAAAATTTTTAAAAAGTAACAATGACAGTAACTTAGCGAACTATGATTGCTTTGTTAGGCAGTGTTTTTGAGAATCCAAGTCCTAGTCCTGCTCAGCTTGCTTTTGCAGATCGCTTTTCTGTCTCTTTCTCCGCCTCCTCTGTGTTCCAGAAGTCCGTCCTTCTATGCACTGGGGCTTCTACACCAGCTGGTTTCTGAGCAGCTTCAGCCAGTGGGGGATACCTGCAGGAGAGAGGACAGAAGTGCCAGCTGGGGGTGTTTTTCCCTTTCCCTGCCTTCCTGGGGTCCTGTAACTGCTCGCTCCATGACAACGGCTCCTCCTGAGCAGCCCTTTAATCACTTCCAGCTCTTTCTGGTCCTGATAACGCTTAGTCTGTTCAGTCTCCCAGTGCTATGAGAGTTCTTGTTTTGCCCTTCAGCTCATGCCACCATATAGAGTCTCTTCTTGAAAGTCCTTCTCATTGGAACTTTAGGGCAGTTTCTGTTGCCTGCCAGACCTTGATTGATCAACTCTGTGTAACCGTAATGCAAAACAATGATCGTCTTTGTAGTTACCAAACTGATGAGATAAAGCCCGACTACCAATTGCCGAGAGGTTAGATTATGTATTATTCATTTTTATATCCCCACTTTTAGCAGAAGTGCCTGGTCCACAGCAGGCGTTCAATGACTATTCAAGTTAATGAAACGGTGAGTGAGCCCAAGTGATTTGTACTTGGAGCGGTGTGCTCTCCTGATGAGATTCTGCTCTCCTGTTGCTGGTGAAAACCAGCTTTTCAGGCTTTTTGTTGCAGCACAGTCAGGGTGTGACAGCTCATGCTGAGCATGGTGCTTCCACACATGTGCACTATAATATTTAGTTAAATTTGAAGTCTGGAACCTTTATCTTATTCTAAAGTACCTCCTCCCCCATTCATTTACAGATTTGGGGGGAGGGGTTGGTTTCCATCGTATTTATTTATCCATTCAATAATTGGATGTATTTTTCTAATTTTTAAATGGCAAGGGAACCATATCTAGTTGTTAAAAGTACAGTTATTACAAGAAAAAGACCTGTTATCTCTTCATTCCCAGTTTCACCTCCCAAAAGTAACCACTATTACCAGTTTGTGAACGCTTTCCTCTATATAAATATAGGGAATTTCAAAAAACTTCTGGAAAATTCACATTATTTTTAATTACATTTTTCTGTGAACTTTTTTAAAGCCCCCATTTGTGTATTTATGTCATATGGAAAGCCATACATTAGCTTTATATCTTTCTGTAGTTAAAATTAATACTTTTTAAATTCTGTAGCCGGCGCCGCGGCTCAATAGGCTAATCCTCCGCCTAGCGGCGCCGGCACACCGGGTTCTAGTCCCAGTCGGGGCACCGGATTCTGTCCTGGTCGCCCCTCTTCCAGGCCAGCTCTCTGCTGTGGCCAGGGAGTGCAGTGGAGGATGGCCCGAGTACTTGGGCCCTGCACCCCATGGGAGACCAGGAGAAGCACCTGGCTCCTGGCTTCAGATCAGCGCGGTGCACCGGCCGTAGCACACTGGCTGCGGCGGCCATTGGAGGGTGAACCAACGGCAAAGGAAGACCTTTCTGCCTGTCTGTCTCTCTCTCACTGTCCACTCTGCCTGTAAAAAAAAAAAAAAAATCTGAGTTATTTCTAGTAAAAGTGAATACACATTTGGAATCTTACTATATTTGGTATTAATTTTTGTATAAAATTGAGAAATTTTAGTTTTGTTCAGAAATCTCCTATTATATATATTTTTTTAAAGATTTTTTTATTTATTTGAAAGGCAGAGCTACAGAAAGGCAAAGGCAGAGGCGTAGAGAGAGAGGTCTTCTATCCACTGGTTCACTCCCCAAATGTCCGCAAGCTAGGCCAATCTGAACCCAGGAACCAGGAGCTTCTTCTGGGTCTCCCACATGGTTGCAGGGACCCAAACACTTGGGCCATCTTCTGCTTTCCTAGACCATAGCAGAGAGCTGGATCAGAAGTGGAGCAGCTGGGTCTCGAACCAGTGCCCATATGGGACACTGGCACTTCCGGCTGTGGCTTTACGCACTATGCCACAGTGCCAGTCCCCCATTATATTTCAATGAATAGTCTTTCCTCCCCCATTAATTTGGAATGCCATTATTAATGTATAGTTGATTTATAGTCTTTTTAATTTGAAAGTGAGAACAATATAAGTGGGGGGGTGGGGGCAGAGACATTCATCTGCTCAGTTACTCCCCAAATGCCAGCAAACAGCCAGGGCTGAGCCAGGCTGAAATCAGGAGCCAAGAACTCAGTCCAGGTCTCCCATGTGAGGGGCAAGAACCCAAGCAATTGGACCATGATATGCTGCCTCCTATATACATTAGCAGGAAGCTAGATGGAATCAGAGAAGCCAGGACTCAAACCAGCACTGTAATATGAGATGCAGGCATCCGAAGTAGCAATTTAACCTGCTGTACCACAGTGTCCACCCTCAACACCTGTTTAATGCCAAAAAATTTGGATGCAGAATTATGTTGAGATATAATAATATTTGAGTTGTAATGATTATGATACTTTGTTTTTCTGGTTGTGAGTACCATTTATAAATGAATATTTTGGGGCTGACATCATGGCATAGCAGGTAAAGCCTCTCCCTGTGGCACCAGTGTTCCATATGGGCTTCAGTGTGTTTTGTCTGTTCCACTTGTGATCCAGCTCCCTGCTAATGGCCTGGGAAAAGCAGTAGAAGATGGCCTAAGTGTTTGAACCCTGTCACTCACATTACAGACTCCAATGAAGCTTCTGGCTTTGGCCCAGCCCTGCATGGCTGTTGCAGCCACCCAGTGAGTGAACTCAAGGATTGAAGAGCTCTCTTTCTTTGTCCCTCCCTATCTCTGTAACTCTGACTTTCAAAATAAATAAGTCTTTAAAAATCTTTTATTTATTTTATATTGAAGACTACAGTGTTGTCTCTAAAACTCAGTTTGAAAGTTAAGTTTAATAGGAAGAAAGATTTTTTTTAAGAATATGAAATTTCAGGGCCAGTGCTGTGGTGTAGCGGGTAAAGCATCTGCCTGCAGTGTTGGCATCCCATATGGGTGCCAGTTCAAGTCCTGGCTGCTCCACTTCCTATCTGGATCTCTGCTATGGCCTGGGAAAACAGTAGAAGATGGGCCAAGCCCTTGGGCCACTGCACCCATGTGAGAGACCCACAAGAAGCTCCTGGCTTCAGATCGGCACAACTCTAGCTGTTGGGACCATCTGGGAAGTGAACTAGGGGTTGGAAGAACTCTCTCTTTGCCTTTGCCTCTCTGTAACTCTGCCTTTCAAATGAATAAAAAAATCTTTAAAAAAAAAAAAGGAATATAACATTATCTTCAAGTATTTATTCTTACCATCAGGGATAAGCCTTTCCTTTTCATGTTTTATTGAATTAAATAAAATTAAAAAGTGAGAGAATAAAATGCTTAGTTTTAATGAAAATTTTGAATTACAAGTTACTTTGATTCCTTGCTAATTAATGCTGAAATCTAATTATTCTGTAACCAAAAAAATCTTTTAAAATAGCAACTCGGTTTTTTCTCCTTTTTATTCTCTCTCTGTCCTGCTTCTGGTTCACTGAGATTATCAGGATTATGAGGACACATGAAGGGTGGAAGTGGTGTATGTTCTGCTTTATTGTGTATTTGAGGGCTGTGCCTGTTCATACCACTCACACATTTCTTGGAATCCTTAAGGAGCTCGTCTCTGTCAAAAACTTAGTGATCACAACAATGAAGAAGGCATAGGATCATATTTATTCCTTCCATAAAGGGGATCATGGGCATATTTGTAGCTAAGAAAATGATTAAAACTTCAAAGAAAGTCAGTTTATTCATAGGGCTTGTTACCCTGCAGAATTGCTTGTTGAATCATAAAGGGGCGCTCTTCAAACAGTATTCCTGAAACAACAGATAAAAATGATGGTCCTATGTTTATGTAACTCAATGGATTTGTCTTTGGGGAAAATTATCCAAAAGCTCTATTTTCTTCTATAATTGTCTTTGAAATAAATACAGTAATTTTATTTTGATTTGTTTTTATTTCTGCAACCAATTTTAAAATACTTAGAAATACCTGGATTCTCCTTTAGATAGGTCATTCATCTCCAGTAATTTCTTGTGCTAATGGGTATGAACTTAAATGGCTGAAAGACATTATCTTCCAATGATATTTATAATTTATTATAGGAGTGGATTTGTCCAAGATAGAAAAGCATCCAGATGCAGCCAACCTCCTTCTGAGACTGGATTTTGAAAAAGACATTAAGCAAATACTCCTGTTTCTGAAGGATGTGGGTATAGAGGACAATGAGCTGGGAACATTCCTCACTAAAAATTATGCCATTTTCTCTGAAGACCTTGAAAATCTTAAGACCAGGTATGCAGGGCTTTTGGGATGGTTCACACATAGCCCGCGAAGTGATTGTGGAGGAAATACACATGTTAGTTATTTCTGACATCAGTGCTGCACAAAGTCTCCCAAGATAATGAACTAGAATATGATTTGTATTTGTTAGGGCCTTCTTTGATCCAACTAAAGTATTTAAAACAGTTCTTTTATTCATGTTTCAATTTACTGCTGAGCCAATATTTAACTGCTTCTGTTCAATAGAAATTGAACAATTTTTTCTAAAAAAAAAAAATCCATTATCAGATGGCCAAATTATCTGGGAGTGCACTTAAAGATATGAAAGCCGGATCTGGTGTTTTTTTTTCCTCAGCCAATTTTTAACAGTAGACATTTAAAGTTCTCTTAGCAAGTTACTGTATAATTTGCTTTAATTTCTGTAAATTGGCTATTTTAGTTATTCCTTTATTCTTTAAAGAGCACTTTCGTAAACATCTTTGTACTTCATTTAACATTCAGAAAATAATTGAATCTGAGTGTCAGTATAGTGAGATGATATTGATCTGTGAGCTAAGAATCCTGTTAGGCTTGAGAATACCACAGAGTCTCTGTCCTTAGGTTAACATTTTGAATTCATCATCACCTTCAAATCTCTCGAATCAATCGATATTCTCAGCTTCACCGCCTGCAAACACTCTTCATCCTGTCGCCCAAATCAGAGAGAGGTGTTGATATTAACTTGAGCTTCTCCTCTTTCGGCATTTATATGTACTAAGTCATCATGTCCTATCACGTCGGTCTTTGTATGTCTCTCAAATCAGACCATGCACTTCTTTTAACCTTCACTTTGAATTCTTTGCCCCAGGTTCCTGTCATTTCATAACAAGATTACTCTCCTAATTTGTCTGCCTCTTATCTAAACACACACACAAATACCACACCAACACTCAGCTGTCTCCACTTAGCTGAGCCTCGCTAAGTTTCAGAGAGCTTTGTTAATTTCTTGAAGTTTTGTAATCAAATGCCTTTTATTTGAATTAGAAGAAAATTGACCAAAAATAGCATCTGTGTTTAAGATACTGTTGAGATACCCGCAGCCCCTAGTTCCAGCTTCCTGCTAATGCAGACCCTGGGAAGCAGGGATCATTGGCTCAAGTAGTTGGGTTCCTGCCAGCTACATGGAAACCAGGATTAGGCTGATGCTCTTGACTTCAGCCCATTTGTTTCTGGGTACATTTCAGGGAGTGAACTAGTGGATGGAAGATATCTCTGTCTCTGTTTCTCTCACTCTCGCTCTGCCTTTCAAGTAAATAAAAATGTATTTATTTTATTTAAGATAAATTTATTTAAGATGACTATGAACAACAAAGATTAAGTATATACACACATGAATATCAACGTTGTTGGGAACATCTTATGCTGGATTTACATTTACACATCTTTTTTTGTAAATTGCTTGTACCCTTTGCTGTTTTTTTAATTGGGCCCTTTTCTTTCCTTTTTTGCTAAACATTCTTTTAGATATCGAGCAGATTATTTCTTTCTCTGAGACAAAGTCTTGCACATAGACTTTCCAAGTGGTCACTTGTTCCTTGACTTTGTTTATAGTGCTTTTTGTCATACACTTAGAATGTTTATGAAGGCAGCTTTTCCTCTCATGGCCTCTAATGAAGTTCTTTAAAGGAGTAATAGTTGGGGCCAGCATTGTGGCAAGTTGAGCCTCTGCCTACAGTGCCAGTATCCCATATGGGTGCTGGTTCAAGTCCAGGCTGCTCTACTTCTGATCCAGAACCCTGCTAATGTGCTTGGGAAAGCAGTGGAAGATGGCCCAAGTACTTGGGCCCCTGTACCCATATGAGAGACCTGGAAGATACTGTAGGTTCCTGGCCTCAGCCTGGTCTAGCCCAGTCATGGTAGCCATCTGGGGAGTAAACCAGTGAATGAAAGCTATCTTTCTGTATTTCTGCCTTTTAATAAATAAATATTTTTTTAAAAAAGTAGTAATAGTTATTTGATTATAAACTAATGCAAGTTCTGGTACAAAGTATAGAAATGTCAGTAAACTAATTGTAGGCATGCCTGAGTTCACATCTGTTTTATCATTAATTACCTAAGTGATAATTAGCTTGTGACCTAACACAAGTTATTAACTTGTTTGAATCAATGTTTCTTCCTCTGTAGGGTGGACAGTTTACCTGGCTCACAAGGTTTTTTTTTTTCCTGTTGTGAATTAAGAAAGATAATATCTTGGTATATTTTAGGCATCTAATAAAATACCATTCACTATGTTTTTAGATTTAAAATAAATGTTATTTTACAGTCAAACTTGCTATATTTTACTACCCTGTTTTGGTTGCCAAAAACTTAGGAAAATTTCTCAGTTGTTAATAAAATACCTTTTGAAAGACTGTTGTAAAAATTACTTATGAAAATACGTAATAAATGTACTAATATAAAGGATTTTTCTAACTCACAACCATGGTTTAAGGTCTTTCTTTGTAAGAAGAATTCTGAATCTTTTATTTTCCCACTTTGTGTTTTATCCACTGTTAGCAAAAATAAATGAAAAAACTTGAACAGAAGCAATTTTACTTTTTCCTAGCAAGTAGTAAAACACATTATCGGAAAAGAGAATCTACTTGTTACTGGGTTTCAGAATTATTTTCTATTTGCATGCAGAAATGGAAACCATTATAGAGTTGGGTAGATGTTTGGTTTATTCATATTTATATCATTATTACAGAATATTTGTGTTTACATTTTTTTATGGAGTGGGAGTCTGTTTAAAAATAATTGTCACTTTGGAGAGTAGTTTGCTGGCAGGAGACGTTTATCATATTTGTGTGTATTTTTGTTTATTTCTCCAGAGTGGCCTATCTTCAGTCAAAAAATTTCACTAAGGCAGATATTGCACAGATGGTCAGGAATGCTCCATTTTTGCTGAATTTTTCAGTGGAAAGACTGGATAACAGATTGGGATTTTTTCAGAAAGAACTTGAACTTAGTGTGAAAAAGGTAAAGAAATGGAAACTTTGAACATTTCTATGTCAGGTACATTCAGTAACTGTGACATCTCTTGGGCTCACAGATGCCAAGCCTATAGAAGTCCAATAAATGCCTGGCATTTTCCATACAAAAATGAGTTACCTTGCTAGATTAAACATAAAGCTGCATAACTTTGTAACATTCCAGCAAATTGATTCCCTACATTTTGTTTTCAATATCTGTTTTTTCCTCACTTTTTGTGTCAAGTTTATGTATTTCCAGTGTTGTTACTTCTCTGTTTGGGTCATATTTTTAAATTTTAAGTTTGTGTTCCTAGAAATGCCTTAGTTTTCCAAAGTAGTTAAGTATGCACCTATAGTAATAATGGATTGTTTTGTTTATGACAATAGACGAGAGATCTGGTAGTTCGTCTCCCACGGCTACTAACAGGGAGTCTGGAGCCTGTGAAAGAAAATATGAAGGTAGGACAACTTTGAGCTTTTTGCAAGATCAACTTTTTTCTTTGAGTGTTTAGGTTCTCTGCAGACACCAGATTTTGCTGTCATCATCTTAAAACTAGATTTTTAAAGAAGTCCTTTCTAAAAAGATAGAAATGGAAATTACAGGGCAAACACGAAAAGCAGTGTATTTCAGGTAAGGATGTTATCTCATGTTGACCAGATGTTACATGAGCAAATCACTTTGTGGATGCTGCTACCCATAACCCCCGCATAACAGTACAGGTGCATGAGCAGCACCGGGCAGCCCAGCATAAGGGTCTGTGTCTCAGGGAATTTGGGAGGCTGGATCCAGATGACTTTGTTGTGGGGAGTGGCAGCCAGCAAATTGCTCTCCTTAACACTGGTGCCAATTCCTAGCTCTGGCTCTATCACAGAACATCCGAATACTTCACTGCCCTTCATCCAAGAGATTAATATGAAGCCAAGAACAGCTGACTAGTTGGTAAACAAAGCCGTGGTAGTGCAGTCATGCATTAGTGCTTGGACAGGTTTACTATGTGAACATCACAGGCCTAGGTTGTATAATCTACACACCTGGACTGACTAGAATAGCCATCCTTGTGAATGCAGTCTGTCACTGCCTACAGTGTTGGTAAGTGGCACATGACTGTATTTGAAATCATTATGAAAGGCTCATTTTCAGAGGTGCTGAAGTAATCAGAGTCATGCAGAGATCTTCACTGAGCACCTGCCCAAGCAGTCTAGGCGATTGTTGCTGCTTTCATGGTACTTAGAATCCTGTGGGCGTTAAACTGCACAGTGACCAGATCAGCAGCCTTGTGGGGGAGCATAGGCTACTAGGAAACCACATGGAGAGCTTCACTCATACTTGGGTGTTTAGTTTTATCATCTCCGTGTGGAACGAGGGCATGTAGTTGTTCAGGGAACATGGTCCTGAGTATGTCTGGGAGCAGAATCTTAAAGGCATTTGGAAAAATCTATTGCCACTCATGGAAAAAGGATGTATTCGTCTCTTGAAGGGAGGAGAGAACATCCACTTTGCTTATGGCCATGTCCAAATGCTGATGGAGTCTGTGGTCACAAAAGGCATCCAGAGCCTTGGCAGCCCATGGCAAGAGCCTCGGTGGTCACTGACGTCATAAATAAGAGTGTTAATTGTTAAAGGAACAACAGGAGTCACTGTGCACTCACTCCCCATGTAGGACCTCCGTCCTCAATGAGTTGTTCTATGAAGATCGACCAGAAATCTTGTTCTCAAATTGTACTCTATATGTTGTGTGTGTGCATGGGTGCAAACTGTTGAAATCTGTGCTTAACCTGGAGTTGCTCCTATGTATATAAAATCAAACTAAAAATGAACCATAATGAAAAGGAGATGGGAGAGGGAGATGGGATGGGAGTTGGGGTAGGAGGGTGGATATAGGGGAAAGAATCACTATATTCCAAAAATTGTATCTATGAAAAAATGCATTCATTAAATAAAAACTTTAAAAAAAAAAATCAATTGACAAACAAAAAATGTGTTGCCAGTCCATTAACTGACTCGCCCTCCTCTGTCCAGCAGTGTTGGGGTGATCAGCACCATGATCCTCTTGCCATGCACAGCTCATTCTCAGCAGAGGGTTTGGAACTTGCCTCACCCCAGAAACAGGAGGCTATAGTGTCTTGAAGGCATCAATGTGGCTGTCTCCAGATTTTTAAATGTCATTATGTTGAAATTTAAAAGAATCAATGTGTCCTCTGGCATAGCACCAGAGTAACTATTTATGTTCATGACTTAGGAAATTTACTTTCCTTTAGGTTTATCGTCTTGAACTTGGTTTTAAACACAATGAAATTCAACATATGATCACCAGAATCCCAAAGATGTTAACTGTAAATAAGAGGAAACTCACCGAGACTTTTGATTATGTGCACAATGTGATGAGCATTCCCCACCACATCATCGTCAAGTTCCCACAGGTAATGCAGCTCACAACAGTGTGAGGGCGCTGTTCCCTGCTTTCAGACTTGCTATGCAGGTGCAGAGTGCTTCCGGACACATCTGCTCCTGAGAAGAAATCCACGATGAGTGTGTGTGCATGTAGTACCTACCTCTTCCTAGCTCTGCTGGATAGACTGAGCCAGAGCAAATCCAACATAGTCTTATCTTTTTAAATTTAAAATAGATCACTTCTCTTGAAGGTCCTTTCAGTACTACCCTTTTTATTCACAATCTGTCTAAATCCATGGATTAACAAGCCATAGTGATGTTATCCTGTTGAAGCATAGAAAAGTTCCAGTTTACCATTATGCCAAAGCCATGTATTTTCAAATGAATTGCTTGTGGTCTTTACCTTGTGAGTGACATTACCTGCTGTTCACAGGAATGTTAACTCTTAGAACACTGCCGAATCGTGAGTGCCTAGAACTAGACCTGGTGCTCAGCAGGCACTCAGTAGGTACTTGTTGAACAAATGAATGATTGCATTCCATCAAAGTGACCCTTCTTTCCAGTTCGCCTTGTGAATAGGCACTCAGGAAGTGTTACTGAATAAATGACAGATTGGATTTCACTGGATTGATCCCTGTACTCTACTCGCAGGTGTGCTCCTATTTTTGTTAACAAAGATGGACAAAAATATGAACTTAATACAACTCTCAGATCTAGATTGCGTTTGGCTAGTTCCTTTATCTATAGAGATGTTTATTTGCCTATCATAACTTCTCTGTGAATGGGCTCTTAATATCCAAGTGTACTTCAAAACTTCATGGGAAAAGGAGTTAAAAGATAAAGTTTAGGGGCAGGCGTTTGGCCTAGTGTTAAAGACACCAGTGTCCCACATCTCAGCATCCCTCTGATTCTAGCTCTGGCTTCCTGATAATGCAGACCATGGGAGGCATTTTGAAATCCATGTGTAGAAGAGTCTTCAAAAAATTTATGTAGAATTCATATTATGAGAAATTGATGCATCAATTTCAAACTTTTTTGTACCAGAATAAACATTTTACCTCTTTTTTCCATGAAATTTTTTATGTACCCTTGTAGGATTTTCCTGTTTCACCAAATGCTAATATGTTATAAAAGTGTTAGAAACATAAATTTGTGTGAAATTCAGCTTATGGAACAATTGTAAAGTGAATAATCACTGGGTATGGATAGT